TAATTTTTATCAATCCATAAGATAAGCAAAACATTAAGAACCTGGAAAATTTCGCTAAAAAACAAAGAAAAAAACAGCGGACTCTTATATAATATCAGTCCTCCTATATGGCAGTTAAACCCTCTTTAAACCCTGACCTTATGTCACATTCATTAACGCCGTGGGCGTGCTGAAAAATGAACTCCTATATGCCAGTAAATGCTAGACCATCTCTGCACAGATAAAGAAGAAACTATAGAAAAAGAAATGTAGTTCTATAGAACTGAGGATTCCATGAAGCGAGCATGTAAGCAATGACAAAATTTTAGAGAAAAAGGAAACCAAAATCGACATTTGTACTTAACATTAGAAAGAGACGGGTAATTTGAAATTCAAGCCTCGCGCTCAATTTCTAATAATAATTCCTCGAATAGTTCCATTTAGGTGTAAATTTACATGCTTAATTCGAAAATAACAATGCAATTTTGCTAAAATCTACCGTTCTGGAGTTATCGACAATAAAATTTCGGACTCACTCGCGTCCATTCGCTTTGAGTCCGTCCGCCATTACTGACGCTGTTTTCATACATTTGCATCGAGTAATCATGCGCGGAGGTTTACTTAGTTAACAGCCTTTTTACTGATCTTACTCGTCTTAATTACTGCGCAAAACTAAAAGTAGTCATTTTAAAAATGAAGCTTTTCTTGGTTTTTTTTTTTTTTTGTAAATTTGTTTAAGTTATTTAGAAAAGCAATGAAAAGTGCTGTTATTTTTATAGTAAAGCATTTTTTGTTTTCTTACAGTAAAACTTTTCATAGTGAAGCTGTAATAATAATGAATTCTTGGTTAAATAATAATAAAATAAATAATAAAACAAATTAAATAATAAAACAAATAACAATCATGCTCTTTTTAAAATTCGCTCAAACTTTGCACGTTGCATGCGCATTAATCGAGACAAGTAAAACTTCGGCGCATGACTACTCGAGACAAACGTATGTAAACAACGCCGGTAATGGCTGGCGTGCTGTAGCCGCGGCGCGAATGAGTCCGAAATTTTATTGTCCATAACTCCGAAACGGTATATTTTAGCAGAATTTCATTGCTATTTTCGAATTAAGCATGTAAATTTACACCTAAATGTAACTATTCGGGAAATTTTTTTTTAATTAGAAACTGAGCGCGGGGCTTGAACTGCAAATTGCCCAAAGAGACAGCTGAAATCTCTAGGTCACATAATAAGGAAAGGATGCTTGGAAAATATGACACTGACATGATCTATTGAAAGTAGAAGGAACAGAGAGAAAAAAAAAACAGTGCATAACCCCTGCCTAACGAGTTCGTACAAATGGATGGCAGAAACGGGCTCAGGAGCGATTACAAAAGACAAAGTTTACTAAGAGTTGCAAAGGACAGGAAATTGTGGAGAACCATGATCGCCAAGATCATGAAGAATTTCCAATGTCATCACTTCTCGACTCTATATATATATGCCAATGACACAACTCTCTACAGATGTCTGAATGGTAATTAGCAATTGATCTTGAAAATGACTATCGATCTGTTGTTAACTGGGGCAAGAAAAGGCTTGTTAATTTTAACGCTTTCAAAACTTAACTGCTCTCTTTTGATCATTTTTGCCTTAATCGCCATGGTTAACACTAAGCCCCAAAAGAGTAATTCCTCCATTTAAAATATTGATTGAACTTTACTACAAATATTTTCATGGCAACTGCACTAACGAGCTACTTTCACTGGTACCCCAACTACATGCATTTAAACGTGCTACTAGGTTGGCATTTCGGTCCCACACTTTCAGTGTCGAAACAGTTAAATGCAGCCGTCTCTTCTACTCCAACAGCTTCTTTTCTCGCAATTCGCAACAGTAGATCCCATTTCCTCTTACTTGCTTCCCTGATAGCTATAATCTTCAAATATTCAAATGAATTGTCAATCGATATCTTCTGTTGCCGTGATCCCGATCCTTCTTTATATTCTTCTCTCAAACACCTCTCTTTACTCTTGCTCTCACTCTCTGTAACCCCTTGCGTGCTAGTGGCACTCCCGCCTTGCTTGGGGCGAAATGCTTGGAAAAAAAAAAGTCATCTGTTTTTTTATAAGACTGTTTTAAGTTGGATTCTGTAAAAGCTTCTTTTGGACAAATGTATTTATCTTTTGTTTGCTAAATCATCAGTTTTATTATGAGATTAGTTTTAGTCTGTTACTTCCTTGGTAGGCGATCCAGTGAACCTGTTCCAGATGAATCCAGGCTCCTATATTAATGGACCTTTTGTACGGGTTTACCAGCGGACATTTGTGTCTTTGAATTGTGGCAGCTGCCACGATATAAAGCAGTTTTTGCTTCCTTAACTCGAGAAGGAATGGTAATTATTTTCTATTGTTAATCTGTTTATTTTTTTAATATTTTTTTAATTTCCTTGCATTTTTATTGGCTAAATATTTCGATTTCGTCGAATTTAAACTGAATTGTTCTTTAATTACTTAGACCCCGAGGAGTGGTTAGAGGAAGTCTTTTCGGTCCGGACAACATCCGGTGACAGAAAGAACCCCAGGCCAAAAGTAAGAAGAGAAAAGAAAGATAGGCGAGTATGGCAAATAGAAAGAAAGAAAGAAAGAAAGAAAGAAAGAAAGAAAGACTCCAAATAGAAAGAACAAAGAAAAAGAGAAACAAATATGATTACTGTAAATAGACAAACTTACAGAAAAGAAAGAAAGGAAAAAGAAAAAAGAAAGAAAGAAAGAAGGAAAGGCTCCAAATAGAAAAAAAAGAGACAGATGAACAAATACGATTACTGTAAATAGACAAACGTACATACATACATACATACATACAGAAAGAAAGAAAGAAAGACTCCAAATACAACAGAAAAAGAAATAGAGAAACAAATACGATTACTGTAAATAGACAAAGATACAGAAAGAAAGAAAGAAAGAAAGAAAGAAAGAAAAAAAGAAAGAAAAAATAAAGAAAAAAAGAAAGAACGAAAGACTCCAGATAGAAAGAACAAAGAAACAGAAAAATAAATATGATTACTGTAAATAGACAAACATACAGAAAAGAAAGAAAGAAAAAAGAAAGAAAGACTCCAAATAGAAAAGAAAATGAAATAAAGAAACAAATACGATTACTGTAAATAGACAAACATATATACATACATACATACATACGTACAGAAAGAAAGAAAGAAAGAAAGAAAGAAAGAAAGAAAGAAAGAAAGACTCCAGATAGAAAAGAAAATGAAACAGAGAAACAAATAAAATATTGAAAATCGAAAGAAAGAAACTAGGGCAGAACTAAAACAAACTAGCAAAAGCAAATGAACAAAAACAGACGAGGACTAAAATAAAAAAAAGAAGCAAAGATTGCAAATAAAAAGAAAAGAGAAACAGAAAAAGAAAGATGGTTTCTCTAAATAGAAAGAGAAAGAAAAAAAAAGACAAAAAGATTGCGAATAGAAAGAAAAAAGAAACAAACAGAAAACTGATTTCTCTAAATAAAAAGAAAGAAAGAAGCAAAATAGAATATTCAAAGCATTTTTTTTCTCAAAAAGTCTAAACCGGAAATGAAGGGAGATTACTTCATACAAAATGAAGACAAATACAGGCTAATTTACTCAAATGCCCCCATTTTTTATATTTATTCTTTCATTTTTATCGGATCCACGCCATTAATCCCCATTAATATTCTTTGTTTGAACAATTAGGGACTCGTTCAAGTGAATTATGCTTATTTAATCAGTTATTTGTCAGAAAAAGCATGTTTCGATCTAAACCTTTGAGAAAATGAATATGCCGCCTGTCATAGAGCAAAGAATCTTCGACAACAACTCGCTCATACACACCACCTGGAACTCGAAAACCGCAATTCTTTGCATGATTTTATCAGAATGAAGAGCAGTTGATCTCTTGCGTCGTTGACTGCATAGCTTCAAATTTTAGTTGCAATATTTCGAATCCTGGCCAAGTACATTGCACTCACTTTTGCACAAATACACATTGGAAATGTTAGCAACCAGTCTAGGAGAAAGATGCCTCTAAATTCGAAACCGGTTATGTGAAGTGCATCCACAGAAAATATTATAGAGGTCAAAGTTGGTAGAGTTACGGGCTTGTGGGCTCTATGATCTTGACTGAGGTCAAATAAAAGAAAATCATACCTTGAGATAGATAGATAGATAGATAGATAGATAGATAGAGATGGTTGTCTTGAAAATAAATAAGCAGATAAAGAAAAGAAAAACAAACAATGAATAGATAGATAGATAGATAGATAGATAGATAGATAGATAGATAGATAGATAGATATGATTAAACTTGAAAATAAATAAGTAGATAAAGAAAAGAAAAAGAAAAGAATAGATAGATAGATAGATAGATAGATAGATAGATAGATAGATAGATAGATAGATATGATTAAATTTGAAAATAAATAAGTTGATAAAGAAAAGAAAAAGAAAAGGAAACAATAGATAGATAGATAGATAGATAGATAGATAGATAGATAGATATGATTAAACTTGAAAATAAATAAGTATATAAAGAAAAGAAAAAGAAAAGGAAACAATAGCTAGCTAGCTAGCTAGCTAGCTAGATAGATAGATAGATAGATATGATTAAACTTGAAAATAAATAAGTTGATAAAGAAAAGAAGAGACGATAGATAGATCGATAGATAGATTTCAAACTGTAATTAATTTTTTATACTCGTTTTGACAGCTATGAACATGCAATGTCACAGCATCAGGATATATTAGAAACTTTGAATCACATAATATCGCCACCTGTTCATACATATAACTAAATTGAGTTATACTTCAGTCGGCTCTATTTGCTTCAACGCCTGTCTCTATGCCATGTGTCACTTTGTCATATATATGTAACGAAGAAAAAGAAAGCAGGAAGAAAGAAAAAAGAAAGAAATACGAACGACAGGAAACATCTGAAAAGATACAATATATACATCAACCTGAACATGTGTTCGAACTTTACTTGCAATGATTAACGAAACGGACTTGAGATTTATCCAATCAATAATGGCATTTAATCGATAATGGTATTAATCGATAATGGCATTTTAAAAAAATTTAGTAATATTTTAAAGATCAGTTATTTGTTAAGTATGTTCTTTTTAAATGATTTTATTTTTATGCAGATCATCCAATTATGACATTTAGGATTTAATTTTGCCTACTCATTACTTTTCTTTAAGGGAGCATATAAACTTGCTTTCGACGCAAGGTCATATGATTATCTTCAATTCCAAAAGGCTATATCATATGGATAAATAGATAAACATTGCCTCAATGTATGATATGGCCTGAAGATTATGTTTAAGCATGAAACAGACTGTCACCGCTGAGTTTTGACCGCAATGTTGACCTATTTACATAAGCAGCGAGCATTTTTTCTGCATCTTTACACACATAGCGTATATATGACTTCCACTTGCGATATGAAGTGAGTTTAAAGCAAAATATCCTCCCCAAGGGACATTCATCAATCATATGTATGTATATATATATATATATATATATATATATATATATATATATAAAATTCAATTTGTAGGTCTGATGAATTGGATCGTGATTACGATTCCAAAGTAATAAATTATAACCATGGAATAAGTGTTTGTGCCTTATATATATATATATATATATATATATATATATATATATATATATATATATATACAGTCGATCTAACCATGCTGATATATATATATATATATATATATATATATATATATATATATATATATATGTGTGTGTGTGTGTGTGTATACAGTAGTAGATGTTGATATATATATATATATATATATATATATATATATATGGCAGGTTGTTGTTGATGATGAGGTTTGCAGTTTTAACTTTTTACAGTTGATCTTGCAGGTCAGTTATTGTTGTTGACGATATATATATATATATATATATATATATATATATATATATATATATATATATAAACTCAAAACACAGCACATATGGCGACTGCATTTAAGCATGATCCCCATATCGACTTTATACAAATATATATAACTGTTTTGTCTCGAAATTTCAAAAACCGTTTAAAAATCGTGATAGCATGACTTAATTTTAGGAATTTTATAACCATGTTAATAACCCTACTCAACACATAGAGAGGCGAATGAACTTAGTGTTAAAAGGATGAGTGTTTAATATCCCTGCCCGTTAAGTTCTCGAGCCACATTATTATGGTATCACTAGGTAAATGGATGCGGGCTCAAGTCTTGTCGGCCATTTCCCGTTTCTTCTCCTTTCCAACAATCTAATAAAATGGGAGAAAACAAAAATCATGTCAAAACATTGTGTCAGTCCCACTATGAGCTCCCAGTTGAGCAATGGTGAGACGAAAAAGATCATTCAGACCTTCAGTAATGGCTCCATTCTTCAAAGTTCATATATATATATATATATATATATATATATATATATCCGAATGTAATGAGGACGAAAATAGAGAAAATAGAGTCTGTCTATATTGGAAAATTCGAAAACTTAAGTAATCAGCACATATGCTAGGGCACAAAAATCTCCTGAGCCGACCAAGCATAGAAATAAATACAAAACGGGAGCCATTAGTCCGAATAATGTAAATACAGGACGAAAATAATATATAAATTCTAAGGTTCACAGCATTAATTCAAAAGAGGGATCAATACCGATAGTAGTGCTATAATTATTATAATTTTTTCATATAGACAAAAACAATTTACTCAATACAATGATTCAGCTTCGTTTCAGTGCATTTAAAATTGCACTTCAACTGGTGAGAACCAAAATTTTGGTTCTCATCAAGTATCTGTCTTTCTGAGATGACATATTGTAATTATTTACATTATTTCTGAGATGACGTATTGTAATTATTTACATTATTTAAATTGCACTTCCACTGGTGAGAACCAAAATTTTGGTTTTCCCCAGTCGAAGTGCAATTTTAAATGCACTGAAACTAAGTTGCAGCTTTGTAGTGAGTAAATTGTTTTGTCTGTATGAAAAAATTATAATATGTATGTGTGTTTGTGTTTGTGTGAAACGTCGTGGACATGACAATAACGATGAGGACAACAATCCTAACAATTTAAATAATGTAAATAATTACAATATGTCATCTCAGAAATATAGACAGCTACTGTAGTAAGTGTTTGCAAATCTGTTGCACCCTGCTGAAGCATTTCCAAGTGATTTTGGGACCAATTTAACCGTTATCACTCTGTGTATCTCTCCTCTCGTATCCCGGAGACAAGGTGGACAATCTCCTCAATGATGATGAAGAGGCTTGAAGCAACAGAAATGTGGCTCTACAGAAACATGCTGAGGATACCAAAGACCGAACATGTGAGCAACGACGAGACTTTGGAGAGAATGGAAACAAAGAGGAAAATTATACTTAACATCAAGAAGAGACAGTTGAAATTTCTGGGGCACAGGGGGCTTGGAAAATCTGATACTCACAGGACAGTTTGATGGGCTTGA